CAGACGTGTCCCCCTGCTTAAGCCAGTACATGTCTGGGCCCATCTGAAGTTTGCTAGAGAGCATTTGGATGATCCAGAAGAGGATTGGGAGAATGTCATATGGTCAGATGAAACCAAAATAGAACTGTTTGGTAGAAACACAACTTGTCGTGTTTGGAGGAGAGAGAATGCTGAGTTGCATCCAAAGAACACCATACCTACTGTGAAGAATGCGGATGGCAACATCATGCTTTGGGGCTGTTTCTACGCAAAAGGGATCAGGACGACTGATCCATGTACAGGGACAGAATGAATGGGGCCATGTATCGTGAGATTTTGAGTGCAAACCTCCTTCCATCAGCAAGATAAAACGTGGCTGGGTCTTCCAACACGACAATGATCCCAAACATACTGCCCGGGCAACGAAGGAGTGGCTTCGTAAGAAGCATTTCAAGGTCCTGGAGTGGCCTAGCCAGTCTCCAGATCTCAACCCCATAGAAAACGTTTGGAGGGAGTTGAAAGTCCGTGTTGCCCAGCGACAGCCCCAAAACATCACTGCTCTAGAAGAGATCTGCATGGAGGAATGGGCCAACATACCAGCAACAGTGTGTGCCAACCTTGTGAAGACTTACAGGAAACGTTTGACCTCTGTCATTGCCAACAAAGGATATATAACAAAATATTGAGATGAACTTTTGATATTGACCAAATACTTATTTTCCACCATAATTTGCAAATAAATTCTTTTCAAATCAGCCAATGTGATTGTCTGGATTTTTTTTCTCATTTTGTCTCTCATAGTTGAGGTCTACCTATGATGCCAATTACAGGCCTCTCTCATCTTTTTAAGTGGGAGAACTTGCACAATTGGTGGCTTACTAAATACTTTTTTTGCCCCACTGTACAATAGTTATAAAAAAGTCCAGAAAATAAATCCATGAACAGGTGACATCCAGTGCTGGTGAATCCGTTGAAAGTATTCCTTTATATGCACTCACCAGAAGCACATATAAAATGCTCATGAAAAGCTGCTTTCTTCCCCAGGTAAGTCAGGCAGCACATCCATCAGTCATAGGACCATGAAGGCCAGGATGATCTCAGATATAAAGGATATACTTTTCACGGATTCACCAGCACTGAATGTCACCTGTTGAGGATGAGTGCATATAAAGGAATACTTTTCACGGATTTACCAGCACTGGATGTCACCTGTTCATGGATTTATTTTCTGGACTTTTTTTATAACTATTGTTTATCGCAATTGTGTCATCTGATACATGTTCACTATCAGACACTATTCATTTTATATCACCCAACGCTGACCACTCAGTGTCATGGATACTATCACCACAGTTATCAGTGTATTAATTATTGCTATATTAATAACTCATGAACTCTCGCACTTTAGACTGGTAGCACTGATCAGAGCGCCTCACTGTGTCTGCCTTTCAATATTGCTGCTATTCGTTCTATTGCTGCTTCTATTCACCTTATTATTTATTTATGTATATGGACATGTTTTAGAAGTATTTCATTTGATTCATTCATTACTTTAGCGCTTCACCTTTTATATTTCAATATTTATGCCAGTACCTGAGCATAGAGGATGTTTTAAGCTCCTTATTGCACCATCTGTTCTGCCACAGATGTTAAGTAATTCCTAGAAAATAGCTGAGAATCTCTGGAAAAGGTGACTTTACCTAAAGGTGTGGCTGTGCAGTAAATCTTCTCAGATGCAGTGAAATCGACCCTCCTTTCCCAGTTGTCTGAAAGTACTTTTCTTTCTTGTTCATTGAGAGACACAAGAATTCTGAAATTGTTGGGTTGTATTGCCACCTACAAAAAGATTGGACACTGGCAAAAAAACAGTATGATAGATACTGAATAATGCCTTCTCTACCCAGCATGCCCCAGCTGTTTATAGTATCCTAGGAGGGTAGATGTCTTTATTTCAGCTCTACTGAGAAAAGTCTATCCAGTCTTTGCTAGACTTTGAGTTGCATCTCAGATCCTATTTGGCAGTTGGAGATCATTTCTGGGGTTTCTATGTCTCTGGATTCAAAGACAGACAGAACAAACTAGTTTCTTGTTGCAGGTATCCTCTGCTGAGTACAGAGTATATCTCAATGCCTTCATTGGGCCTGTTCATCTGGGGAGGGGTCCTTCTACCTTGGCAGATCCCCCCTTCTTTCTTGGCAACAGGCACTTTACAAGATTTGAGAAATCAGGAGCCTTTTTAGGCCCATCGCTGAGGTCAATGTTAGGCAAGATGGTTCTTCAGTAGAATCCTATCTGGTGGCTCTATGTCACCAGTGTGGGACTAGATCTCAGTTTTTTCTAGTGACACTGATATCATGGGATTAGAACCCTGAGTTCTCTAGAGCATGCAAGACTAGCTTCACACCCCTTGTGGGTTGTGTTGCTTTTTGCTGAATCAGGGTTTTCCCTGGCACCCCTCACCTAGCTTTCTTAATTCTAGAGAGTTCAAGAGCCTTGGACCTTTCTATAAAAATGAGCTGGTCTTTTCACCTGGAACTGTTTGATTCTAGGTGCCTTCCTGGGGTCTGTTCTTTCTAAAGGGTATGTTCATTGTTTATTGACTACATCAGGTTGTGGATCTGGAACAGGTTACAGTTTCATTTGTTATTTATGTTTTTTTTTATTCACCACCTTCTCAATAGTTCAGGTTCAGTGCTCCTTCCACATGACGTCATTCCTGCAGGTGGTGACATTTATACTAGGTCATAAAGTGATCATTAAAGGCAATTTAAAAAAATAACAAACATATCATATGTATCTGCTCTGTGCAGTGGTTTTGCACAGGGTAGCCCCAATCCTTCTCTTCTTGCGTCCCCTGCTGGTGCTCCTGGTCCCTCCCTCCCTACCTGCCAAGTGTCCCCAGAGCAAGCAGCTTGCTATGGGGGCATCCAAGCAGGCTCACTCCTGGGTGTCCCATCACACACATAGAGCCGTGGCTCGGCCCCACCCCTATCTCCTCATTGGTTCACTGGCTTTGATTGAGAGCAGCGGGAGCCAATGGCTCCCACTGCTGTCTCAGCCAATGAGAAAGGAGAGTCCCCCAGATTGCCGAGGCTCTCGTGCACATTGCTGGATCGCGATGGGGCTCAGGTAAGTATTAGGGGGGCTTCTGCACCCAGAAGGTTTTTTTATCTTCATGCATAGAATGCATGAAGGTAAAACACCTTGAGCCTTTACAAAAACGTTAAGCATGAGGTTGATGCTGTGTCCTCCCTCTGGTCGTGTTAGGTTCCCATATTGGTACTGGGTTTGTCATCATCCGGTTCAGATTTAGATCTTGGTCCTTTAGGCAGCTCCTGTGCCCCAGTTGGACTGCTTTTGAACATCCCAACAGTATCAGAATTTTGGTGTCCTTTTATGGACAAGAAAGAAAGTGGATTTCTTGTACTCGCTGTCAAATTCTATTCCATTAAAAACACTCTTCACATTCTTGGTACTGCTTGCTACAAACTAGAGCATACTGGGTAGAGGAGGGATTACACTGGAGCTATGATTTCCAGTGTCCCATTCACCTGTAGGTGGCAGTATATCTCAACAATGCAAGAATCCAAGAAAATGATTTTACCATAAGTAATAAAAAGCCTATTATCATGTTGGATGACATTATAGTCATTATTCTTTTTCTTTTCTATTAGACTTATTTTCTATTGGCTGATGCCGATATTTGGGCATATGTAGCAATCAATACATTTTAGGCTCTCTTACAATTTCGGCATTATAAAATATGAGATCTGGGAACACATTAAGATATAATATAAAAATGTATCTTAATGTGCTCCCAGATCACATTAAGATATAATATAAAATGTATCTTTTTAAAAGACATTTTAAAAAACTAACACATGGCCAAATTAACTTATTAAAATGCCAATGGGCTTCAGCATTGCAGTGAATGCAATCATTTATCACCAGTGATAGTACAAATGGTAATGACAGTCTCAAACAAGGAATAGTGAGAGGATATCAACCATAATGTATAATAAAATCATTCTTTAACAGTTCAAATGCAGATGAACAACTGTAGAAAATAATGTTTAAAGACATGATTTTAAGATTCAGCAAGACTACCATAATAGGTTCCAGAATATAGGTAAATAGTAAAACGATGTAGTGTTGGTTATATCCCAATAGGATTATCAGCATTAAATGACAATGAGTCCAATCTGCTTCATGGAGTCCAATATGCCCAAATGTATTTGTAGACAGTGGCAAGACCTACAGCATAGTTGAATGGGAGAGTAGTGTGTTAAAATAGTACTGTCTAGGGTGAGACAAATGAGATCAGCATTCATTAAAACTCCTATAGGAAACATCTCAATCGAACAAAAAGTGTATTGTAATAGCTTCCTAGTTTTTGTAATATGTAGTACTACTTCCATAGAAGCCGCAGGAATGCTGTCCAGGTCCTCCCCAAATACTTTGCCCTGCGGCCAGGCACACAGGCTCATTCATATGTTTCTCCAATAACCGGTCTAGGGGTGTTGTTGTTGTTGTTTTTATTTTTGGAGAACTTGGATAGGGATGAGGGAGATGAGTGGGGATACTCCGAAAATAGGAACTGTGTACACCTGAGGACTTCATCTAATCTTCAGGGCAAGCTATGTCAGAATCCGTGCTTGAATCAACAGTGGACTTCAGCTTTAAGGCAGTAGTAGAAACAGTGGTAGTAGTAGCAGTAACATAAACTTTTTCAGAGCCCCAGAGCAGTGTCCCTTTAAAAGTAGACCAGGTAGACAAGGCTCTTTGGAACAGCAGCCGGAGTTCCCTTTGCTAATCATGCAGCTAACTTCCTAGCACCAGAGGTGGTTAAACAGCACTCAGTCTCTAAGATCCTTTAACCACCTCCCGCCCGCCATATAGTAATATGATGGACACAAGGTGGTGTTCTGTTGTTCTGGGAGGACATCATATGATGTCCTCCCATTCTCACCGCGCATGTGCGGCTCAGGGAACGCGCAGCGCGGCGATCTGCAGTGCGCTGTGTCCCTCGGACACAGCGGATCACTGATCACAGAAAGAGTCGAAGATGTCGGCTCGGTCATGTGATCAGCTGTGTCCAATCACAGCTGATCACATGTAAACAGGGAAATGCCAGTTATTGGCATTTTTCTCCTCTTGAGCGGTCACGCTGACAGCTCGAGAGGAGAGGAGAGCCGGTAATCGGATTTCCGCGGAGGGGACATGTACACTGATCATCAGGGCACTGATGATCAGTGTGCCCTGATGATCAGTGTAGCCCCAGCAGTGCCACCTGCCAGTGTCCATCAGTGCCTTGTGTCAGTGCTCATCAGTGCCTCGTGCCTGTACCCATCAGTGCCACATCAATGACACATATCAGTGCCTACCAGTGCACATCAATGCCACATATGAGTGCCCATCTGAGCTGCCTTTCAGTGTCACCCATCAGTGCCAGTCAGTGCCACCTATCAATATAAGTCAGTGCTGCCAATCAGTGCCACCTATCAGTGCCAGTCAGTGCCGCCTAACAGTGCCAGTCAGTGCCGCCGCCTATCAGTGCCAGTCAGTCCTGCCTATCAGTGCTGCCTATCAGTGCCATGTATCAGTGCTGCCTTTCAGTGCCCATCAGTGATACCTGTCAATGCCCATCAGTGCCACCTACCAGTGCCTCCTCTTCAGTGCCCATCAGTGCAGCCTATCAGTGCTCATCACTGCAGCCTCATTAGCGCATATCAGTGAAGGAGAAAAAATCACTTCTTTACAAAATTTTATGACAAAAACTAAGAAATAACTCAGTGGTTTTTGGTTTGTTTAAGAAAAAAAAAAAAACCGAGAGGTGATTAAATACCACCAAAATAAAGCTCTATCTGTCACAAAAAAATGATACAGAATTTCATATGGGTACAGTGTTGCATGACCGCACAATTTTCATTCAAAGTGCGACAGCACTGAAAGCTGGAAATTGGTCTGGGCAGGAAGGGGGTATAAGTGCCCTGTAGACTAGTGGTTAAAGATGTCTGTACTTACAAGAGCCAAGAGCAGCTGTATGCCTGCCTCTGTGATACCAGACCAGATCTTTAGTAGACAACCCCTCAGTCAGCATAGCAGAACCCGGTTCTCAGCATACAGGCCCTCAGGTCAGGGAGGGGATCATGCCATCTCCCAAGCTGGATCAGTCCTATAAGCTAGCTATGCTTTGTCCCTAACAGATATTTACAGCCACTCTGACTACAGAGTGACAACTAAATTTACCTATCAAAAAACACAACTAATTCTATCTATCTAATCCTAGAACCTACCTAGGAGGGTGCTACAAATATATGAAAGCAAAATATTTACTATATGGATTTGGCCTTCTTTGGTGCCTGAGTGTTGGTTTGGTTCTGGTTTCAGGGAACTTCGGGGTTACCTTCAGGATCAAACTGGTTTGATTGCCGCAGGACAATGCCATGCCAGTGGCATATATAAATTACCAGGGTGGGACAAGAAGCCATGCTGCTAAGGAAGAGGCAGACATGATGTTGTCCTGGGCAAAGTGCATGTTCCGGCTCTCTGCCGTGCACATTGCAGGTATGGAAAATTGGCAGGCAGACTTACTCACTCAGTCGAGTTGGTGTTTCACCTGAAGGTATTCGAATAGCTATATATAGTGGGCTATTCTTTTGTAGGGGGTGATATTTTAGTGGTTTTATATTTTAGGAGGTATTTTTTTAATAGGGTCTTATGTTAAGCTTGGGGTGTTTAAAAATGCACCATGCTGACCATCTGTTAGTTTGCAATTCACCACTGTAACCTTTAAAAAAAAAAGAAAAGAAAAAGGTGTTTTAAAACCACAGGCACTAAAAACACCTCACTATCTGCTACATTCCCTGCTCCTCCCTATCCCTATAGTAAAAATAAAATCTAGTGATATACCTGAAAATAGACAAAAATTGCAGGGGGCTAGGTAAAGGCACAAGGCATAAAGGTAGTAGGGGTGCTCCTGCATGATAAACCTGTGGAAATAGTCAAATGCAGCAGCAGCAGCAGCAGCAGCAGCAGCCTGGCATGTCTGCTATTCCTTGGCCATAGTTCCCAACCATTTCAGCCACAGCAGGCAGTGGAGGTAATTTCATGGCTCATGAAGCTGGCATCCTCTGTCACTATCATGTTAGAGCAATTTGGCCACACATACCATCACCAAAGCATACTACGCAGGCTTGCATCATTCCTCTGCACAGGGTACCCCAATGATACCCTAAATATTTCGCAATCCTAGCAATACCTCTGACTTCAAACTTTCTATTTTTTCAAATACAGTGGGGCAAAAAATGTATTTAGTCAGCCACCAATTGTGCAAGTTTTCCCCACTTAAAAAGATGAGAGAGGCCTGTAATTGGCATCATAGGTAGCACCTCAACTATGAGAGACAAAATGAGAAAAAAAAATCCAGACAAATCACATTGGCTGATTTGGAAAAGAATTTATTTGCAAATTATGGTGGAAAATAAGTATTTGGTCACCTACAAACAAGCAAGATTTCTGCTCTCACAGACCTGTACCTTCTTCTTTAAGAGGCTCCTCTGTCCTGCACTCATTACCTGTATCAATGGCACCTGTTTGAACTTGTTATCAGTATAAAAGACACCTGTCCACAACCTCAAACAGTCACACTCCAAACTCCACTATGGTGAAGACCAAAGAGCTGTCGAAGGACACCAGAAACAAAATTGTAGACCTGCACCAGGCTGGGAAGACTGAATCTGCAATAGGCAAGCAGCTTGGTGTGAACAAATCAACTGTGGGCGAGCAATAATTACAAAATGGAAGACATACAAGACCACTGATAATCTCCCTCGATCTGGGGCTCCACGCAAGATCTCACCCCGTGGAGTCAAAATGATCACAAGAACGGTGAGCAAAAAATCCCAGGACTGCACGGGGGGACCTAGTGAATGACCTGCAGAGAGCGGGGACCAAACATAACAAAGGCTACCATCAGAAACACACTACGCCGCAAGGGACTCAGATCCTGCAGTGCCAGACGTGTCCCCCTGCTTAAGCCAGTACATGTCCGGGCCCGTCTGAAGTTTGCTAGAGAGCATTTGGATGATCCAGAAGAGGATTGGGAAATGTCATATGGTCAGATGAAACCAAAATAGAACTGTTTGGTAGAAACACAACTCGTTGTGTTTGGAAGAGAGAGAATGCTGAGTTGCATCCAAAGAACACCATACCTACTGTGAAAGGAATGCGGGTGGCAACATCATGCTTTGGGGCTGTTTCTCCGCAAAGGGACCAGGATGACTGATCCATGTACAGGACAGAATAAATGGGGCATGTATCGTGAGATTTTGAGTGTGCAAACCTCCTTCCATCAGCAAGGGCATTGAAGATGAAACGTGGCTGGGTCTTCCAACATGACAAAATGATCCCAAACATACCGCCCGAGCAACGAAGGAGTGGCTTTGTAAGAAGCATTTCAAGGTCCTGGAGTGGCCTAGCCAGTCTCCAGATCTCAACCCCATAGAAAACCTTTGGAGGGAGTTGAAAGTCCGTGTTGCCCAGCGACATGCCCCAAAACATCACTGCTCTAGAGGAGATCTGCATGGAGGAATGGGCCAACATACCAGCAACAGTGTGTGCCAATCTTGTGAAGACTTACAGGAAACGTTTGACCTCTGTCATTGCTAACAAAGGATATATAACAAAGTATTGAGATTAACTTTTGATATTGACCAAATACTTATTTTCCACCATAATTTGCAAATAAATTCTTTCCAAATCAGCCAATGTGATTGTCTGGATTTTTTTTCTCATTTTGTCTCTCATAGTTTGAGGTCTACCTATGATGCCAATTACAGGCCTCTCTCATCTTTTTAAGTGGGAGAACTTGCACAGTTGGTGGCTGACTAAATACATTTTTGCCCCACTGTATAAATGAACAAGGATATACAAAAAACTAACATTATTTATATACAACTGATATGCACACCATATACCGTAATATTTATAGTGTACACACACAAATGTGTACATAGCTTAATGACATTAGACACTGTTGCTTAGCTCTCTGCACACTACTATATACTTAAAAACATGTCAAAACTCTCCCTAAATAACAAAGGAAGGATTCATAGCAAAGAATATTGTAATATAAGCATAGTTAAACCAAATACCTCAATGTGACCCCCTCCAGTCACGCGTACAAAATGAGATGTATCTGTTGAAATCATTTTTTACGGTGCTGGACAATCTTTCTCTCAGGATTGCCATTTTTGAGAAATTATCATTTAGGGTAAAATAAAATCTAAAAGTAAAAATAAAAGCTAAAAAATGTTTTCTAAATCTCATCATACAGGATCAACAATAATTGATAACTGACACTTACAATGACTTCAATAAACCTTCATACATTAAAAATAGTAGAAATATTTTGCATCTGTGAAACTTTAATTGAATATTACCAAATCTGAAAATTGTGACGTTTATAGCCATTTACGCCACTTGGATTTGAGTACAAACGCTTTCATTCACATGCCAGAAGTCATTACTATAATGAAACTCTAAGGGAAGCTCATATTTGTTGACTTGCCAATAAAAATGCTGCATATTTGTAACTTCAAGCCTTTGATGTGTTTGGCAAAAACTAGGATATAATTGAGAGACCCTAACTGATTGGGTTAATTTCAATTATTCTGGGTTTAAAATGTTACAGCATTTATACACAATGCAATCACAGTGATGTTAGATAACAACTGATGTGTTCCTTAAATCGAGATGTCATTTTGACAGAAACTCTATTACCTATCCCCCAAACTCATAAAGATTTTTAAAATTTTTTTTCTAAATGGAGGGTGAAGAATTTTATTAAAAATTTTAAAAAATTTTTTTTTAAAAATCCCAAATGGTAAACTAAAAATTGGGGACCAAAGACTTTGTCCTTCAAAAAAAATAAAATTTTGGGCCCAATGGGCAGCTTTAAGGAAATTTAATTTTAAAAATGTCTTATAAAAAAAAAAATAGGGATTTTTTTTTTGGAAAAAAAAAAAGGGGGGAAAATTTCAAAAATTAAAAAAAATTTCATTCCCAAAAATTTTAAAAAGCTAAATCTTAAAAAAATAAAAAATAAAAAAAAACTAATTTAAACCCCCAAAGTTTTTTTTAATGAAAGGAAAAACCTTTTTAATTCCAATTAACTCCTTTTTAAAATTTAATAAGCTTTTTTTACCGGGTAAGGAAAACCCCAAAAACAATTAAAAAAAGGGGGAAAATCCAAAAAACCCCCTTAAAATAAAAAATTTTAATTCTTTTAAAAAACCCTTTTTTTTTTAAAAAGAGGTTTAAAACCCCAAAAAAAGGGGCATCCCCATAGCACCGGGCCTTAAAAAAAGGGGGAAAGGGCGCTTTAATTAGGGGGTTTTTTTAGTTTTTTCCCAACGCCGAAAATTTTGAAGGTGGTTTGGGGCCGGCAAGCCCCAAAAGGGTTTTACTTCTTACTTTTTTTCCTACGTTTTTGTAATGTAAGAAAGGAATAAGAG